ACCAATCTCGGGAGTATGGCCAAGAGTCAATCATCTACTCTCTCGAGGGATCGTCCCAATTCAGGATCAACACCCGTTCAGGTAGTGAAATAACCAACTTGTTCTCCCTGAGCCAAACAGTCGAACAATGTCTTTGTTGAGCAAAGTACTGATTTAGCCAAGAAAACTGAACAGTGGAAGTATCCATGTGGTCACCGGAAGGCGCAGCCTGAAAACGTCTCCTTGTAAATAACTCATTCCTTTTCTAATTCACAAAGCCTCCTTAGTACCCAACTCAAAACAACTTTGGCAGCATCTGGAGGAAAGGAGAAGTCAACGTTTCGGGTATTGCCCTTCTTCAGGACTGGAGGTGGGGGTAGGAGGAGTTACAGATACAATGGGAGGGGAGGGGGCTGGTAACAGAATGGTGAATACCAGTAGTAAGTACAACCTGGGGGTTGGTCAATGGGAGTGGTGAATCTGGTTGGTGGCTGGAAGGGAAGGTCAGAAGGTGGAATGGAAGGGAGGAGGTGGGGCTGGAAGGGGAGCCAGGGAATGGGTGGGAGGGTTTTTGAAATTGGAGAACTCAATGTTGAGTCCTCCAGGCTGTAGGGTGCCCAGGCGGAAGATAAGGTGTTGTTCCTCAAATTTGCATTCTGAGTCACTGCGACACTGGAGGAGGCTGAAGACAGACATGTCGGAGGGGGAATGGGGGGGGGGGGGGGGGAGGGGGTTGCGGAGCAGCGTTGAAACGGGTGGCGACCAGGAGTTTAAGTTGGCCGTTGCGGGCAGGCGAAGGTGTTTGGCGAAACGGTCACCTAGTCTACGTTTGGTCCCACCGGTATAGAGAAGGCCACATCGGGAGAACCGGATGCAATAGACTAGTTTGGAGGAGATGCAGGTGAAGCTCTGTCTCACTTGGAAGGGCTGTTTAGGGCCTTGGATGGAGGTGAGGGAGGTGGTGTGTGGGCAGGTGTTGCATCTTTTACAGTTACAGGGGAATGTACCGGGTGGGTTGGAGTGGTTGGTGGGGAGTGTAGTGCGAACAGAGGAGTGGCAAAGGGAATGGTCCTTGCGGAATGCAGAGAGGGGTGAGGAGTGGAAGATGTTCTGGGTGGTTGGGTCTAATTGGAGTTGGAAGTGTTTGAGGATGATACGTTGGATGCAGAGGCTGGTGGGGTGGAAAGTGAGGACAAGGGGAACCCTATCTTTATTATGTTTGGAGGGAGGGGGGTAGTTAAGAGCTGTGGAGCAGGGAATGGAGGAGGCACGGTGTAAGGCTGTCTGGATGACAGTGGGGTGTTTGGGGGTTGGGGGTGGAGGGGTTGGGGGTTGGGGGTGAGGGTGGGGTTGGGGGTGAGGGTGAAGGTGGGGGGGGGGGGAGAGGGGAAGAGCGTTGTTTGAAAAAGGTGGTCATCCAGGATACCGGGGAGTGGAACATCTTCTCGTCAGAGCAGATTCAACGGAGACGGAGGAAGTGGGAAAACGGGATGGAGTTTTTGCAGGATACAGTGTGGGAGGAGATGTAGTCTAGGTAGCTATGGGAGTCTGTGTGTTTATAGTAAATGTTGCTCTGTAAACTGTCACCAGAAATGGAAACAGAGAGTTCAAGAAAGGGGAAGGATGTGTCTGAGATAGACCAAGTGAATTTAAGGGTGGGGTGGAAGTCATTAGTGAAGTCGATGAACTGCTCCAGTTCAGTCTGGGTGCAGGATGCAGCACCAATGCAGTCATCGATGTAACTGTGGGAGAGTTGGGGAACAGTACCAGGGTAAGTACTGAAGAGGGACTGTTCGGCATCACTGTCAAACAGGCAGGAGTAGCTGAGGCGCATGTGAGTGCCCATGGCAACCCCATGAATTTGGAGAAAGTGGGAAGAATTGAAGGAAAAGTTATCGAGGGTGAGCACTAGTTCAGTGAGGCGGAGGAGGGTATTGGTCAGAGGGGAACCGGATGGGTCTGTTGGAGAGGAAAATACTAAGGGCTCCCCCTATGCCCACATCCAGTCCCGAAGAAGGGTAATACTGGAGACGTTGACTGCTCCTTCCTTCAGGTGCTGCCTGGTCTGCTGTGTTCTTCCAGCCTCCTGTTTGTCTACCTTGGATTCCAGCAATTGCAGTTTTTTTTGTCTCAAAACAATTTCAGTTAGACTGGTGATGATGCTGCAATTCCTCAAACAACTGATTAAAAATGTAATGATGTGCTTCGGCCCTTTAACCCCAAGTGTGCAATGTGTAGCCTCGCTAGCTTGCGGACACTCCATGGT